CTCCGCGCTCTACGCATCAGCGACCCTCAGTTTCTTGATTCTGAAATTGCCTTTATCTACAAATCATTCTCTCGCCTTGGTTATCCTTTGCATTTCATCAACTGTGCCCACTCAAGCTAAACGAAATTTCTTTCATCCTAAACCTGCTTCCAACACTAGTAGCACTGTACTATGCCTTCCCTTCATATCTGAACTCAAAACTTTTACCAATACCTTTCGTCCTCTTGACATTAAACTCGCCTTTCGACAAACTAACACACTTCGTAGCAATCTAGTTCACACTGCTCCTCCTGCTTCTAATGCTGCTGGTGTCTACTCTATTTCCTGTTCATCTTGTCCTCTCCAATACTTTGGCGAAACTGGCCGTACACTGAATGACAGACTTAAAGAACACAAGAGAAGTGTTAAGTCTGCAGACACTAACAATGCTCTCTTCTGCCATGTGAGGGATTCTAATCATCCCATTGATTGGTCTTCCTCCAAAATAATCTTTCCTGCCTCTACTCTACACAGGCGCCGTCTTGTAGAATCGGCTCTTATAAACAATGTACCCAACATGAACTTGAGTCCTGGCTTTGTTGCTGTGGACTCTTCCCTTTCACAGTATATACTCAAATGCTCTAATCTTTCTAACAAACGTGACTTAACATAAGCTTTCCCCCTTCCATTTCTTTCTTTCTCTCTTCTCCCTTTTTCTGTTCATTGTCTTCTCCTACGCTCCCTTGCTATCCTCTTCTTTTTTTTTCCTATTACTATCTCCTTCGGTGGTTATAATAGGAGCTGCCTCGTATGGGCCAATAGGCCTGCTGCAGTTCTCATTACTACTATCCCCTACACCTGACTTTCCTCCTCAGCTCTCTCTTGCCTATTTATTGCCTGTCCCTACCTCCTCATCACAATCGACTTGAGAATGGTCCAGGACGGACCGAAACGTCGTCGTCCCTTCAATTTCTAGTGTGTGGTCTGGTCAACATACTTCAGCCACGTTATTGTGACTCATCGCCTGCACAGTGCCACATGAAAGACTGATTAAAAAGATAGAGTCTCATGGTATTGGGGGTGCTATATTAAGCTGGATTAGGGCATGGCTATACCAAAGGAAACAGAGAGTTAGTATAAATGGAATCAAGTCAGAGTGGGAAAATGTTGTAAGTGGAGTGCCTCAAGGCTCTGTCCTGGGACCTCTGTTGTTTATAATATATATAAATGATTTAGATTCAGGTTTGAGTAGCAACATTTGCAAATTTGCCGATGATACGAAAATCGGTAGGGAAATTAATTCGGAGGAGGACTCCTCACTATCACTTCAAGTTGATCTAGATAGGGTTTTGAAATGGTCAAAGGATTGGCAGATGCAGTTTAATGCTGATAAATGTAAAGTTCTGAGGTTAGGTAATGATGATAGAGTTACAAGATACGAGCTAGATGGTGTTGTGATTGCGAAGTCGGATTGCGAAAGGGATCTGGGAGTTATGATTAGTAAGAATTTAAAACAAAAGGATCAATGCATAAATGTTCGTAATAAGGCAAATCGGACACTTGGATTTATTAATCGCAGCGTTAGTAACAAGACACCTGGTGTGGTTCTCAAGCTATATCTTGCTCTAGTTAGGCCCCATTTAGATTATGCAGTTCAGTTTTGGTCGCCATATTATAGAATGGATATAAATTCACTTGAACGTGTCCAGCGTAGGATGACTAAGTTAATTCCCCAAATTAGAAATCTTTCATATGAAGAAAGATTAACAAAGCTTAAGTTGCATTCACTGGAAAGGCGAAGATGATAGAGGTTTACAAGTGGGTGAATGGACATAACAAGGGGGATATTAATAGGGTATTAAAAGTATCAACACAGGACAGAACACGAAACAATGGGTATAAATTGGATAAGTTTAGATTTAGGAAAGACTTGGGTAAATACTGGTTCAGTAACAGGGTTGTAGATTTGTGGAACCAATTGCCGCGTAACGTGGTGGAGGTGGGGTCCCTCGATTGTTTCAAGCGCGGGTTGGACAAGTATATGAGTGGGATTGGGTGGTTATAGAATAGGAGCTGCCTCGTATGGGCCAATAGGCCTTCTGCAGACCTTCTGTTCTTATGTGTTGCAGGAAATCCCATCCAAGAATGGGTTGTTCCACATCCGCTATGAGGAAAGTCCACGTAAAGTGACCCAGAGAGGCGAACTCGAGAACCAGGGCGCGGGTCCCATACGGACGGACGTACCATTGGCGGCTCGTAAGTCCAAACCAGGAGTACGGGTTGGTTTGACTAGTGGGGGAGGTAACACGCTAGCTGCTGCACCTGTGTCAACGAGGAAACGGCGTTTGGTTATGACGTCAGATATGTAGAGCAGTGTAGTGTTTGAAATGGCGGGGTCACTGGCCGTTAACAGTCCCCGCCGAAGTAGTTTCCCGATCAGGAACAAGGAGCCCTACAGTTGCGGGCTTGGTGTCCGAACTTCTGGTGGTAAGAACAAAGCTTTCCCCGACGTTCTCGCTGTCGCCTAGAGACTGATACTGGATTCGCATGGTACGTTTTCCCTGGGTGGACGAAACGCCGGTTCTGGAGGACGTCGAGTTGTTGGGTGTCTGTAGTCTGGGTGTCTGTGTATCACTGAGGTGGGACAATATAGTGTTATTAGACGTCGTATGAAGCCGGTCTGCCAGTGTAGCCAGCTGGGCTAATGGGGTGTCGTCAGCCATACTGAATAGGGCCGGTTGAATGTGTTTTGGACAGAGTTGTATCCAGTGATCTCACAATCTCGCTGGGGGCTGGGCCAGTTGCAGTATGCATCACATACTGAATATGCCGCAGAAGCTGAGCTGGTGTTTTGTCTGCTAATCTTTTGTCAGTGAGGAGTTGGTCCCTTTGTTGAATGCGGCGTTTCATTGCTGCCTGTAGAAGAGCGGCTTTCAATGCAGTGTACGTCCTGGTGTCCGGTGATGACAGCGGAGGCAGTGTGCTTAGCCTCCGAGGTAAGTGTTGGCAGGGTACAGGCATATCGGGCTTTCTCAGTCGAAATTTCGTGAAGGTCGAAAATAGCCTCCATCTGCATGAACCAAAATTCTGGCTCATCTGCGTTGTATGCTGGAAACCTGGTAGATAAATCCATGGCGAAGTTTGTGACTAGGTGTTCTTTTTTCACTCACTGGGTCACCAATGTAACGGTTCTACTGTTACGTAAAGTATGGTGACAAATAAACACAGACACTAAGATACTATATATATAATTGGTCGAATATACAGAAGTACACCGGTGATACTTTGGTGTGAGTTGAGCGCACTGAGCGTCGGTACAGTATCTCGCAAATGTCTGCTCTAGACCACACTTGAAAGTAGACTAGCCAATGTTCGCTACACCGCTGCTTATATGCTCGGGCAACACCTCACCGTGTTGCCCAGGCAACGCCTCACCTCATTCATCTCCAAAGGTTGACAGGAATATTAACAATGTATTTGGAGCGAGTATATTATTGGGATAATCTACTCGCTACAATACAAACTAAGGGCGGGAGTCGAACGAAAGGCACCAGAGCCGAGACGCAACCCAGTATGGTGCAAAGCATCAAGACGGCGAAGAGTAGAAGGAGAAGCAGAAGAGTATGCAGGGCAACCATAATCGAGTTTAGACAGGACGAGAGAGGAGTGCAAATAGAGGAGCGTGCGCCTATCCGCTCCCCAAGAAGTATGGGACAAAACCTTAAGGAGGTTAAAGTTGACGATTTAAGCGACAATGTGGAGCGACTTATCCCAAACATATTATTGGCTGGAGTGTGTTTGCTGGCAGATCACACTCCTGTACGTTAATCTAACTAATAAAGTAAATTTTATTCAGGAAAGTACATACATAGTTGATTTACAAACATAATGTTGGATTTATAGATAGAGCTAGTACATACAATACCTAAAAAACGTACGCATAGGGCAAGGAGAAATAAACTCGCAAATTTAATAGGTGATATTAAATCAAATCAAATCAAATGTTTATTTAGGTAAGGTACATACATACAAGAGATTTTACAAAGAGTGATGGATTTATAGTTAGGGCTAGTACATACAATGCCTAAAGCCACTATTACGCAAAGCGTTTCGGGCATGAAAAACTTAAAACTTAAAAAACTTAACTATTAGAATGCATATTTATAACTATGTTGCATAAACAGCGACAAAACATTTAAGATTTATTAAAAACAAAAGTTTCAACTGCACAGTGATTTGTGTATAACAATCTCTCTAGTTGTAAGATTCCTTAACACTAACCCCAGAAATCATCTCAAGATAACCTCAAGATAGCCATCAATATTACAAATGAATGAACTATGTCTATGAATAGTGAATGTCTTCACTAAAACTAAGTCCCAATTGGACTGACAAATGACAACGTTTACAATCTTCCCAAACTTAGGGAGTTCACAATGAAAATTTATTATATTATTCTGTATGGATTTTAAAGTGCAGATTGACCTGACAAGTGGTTTAGTTTAGTTCATTTGTAATAGGATCTACTTAATTTATTATGTAATAGGATCTACTTACCGAGTAAGTCTTACATTATTCCAGGATTAATTAATGACTTGCCCGAAACGCTAAGGGTACTAGTGGCTGTACAAGAATGTAACAACTCTTGTATATATCTAAAATAAAATGTACCCCCCCCCATACCCATCTTGTGGGCGGTAGTGGAAAGGGTTACAGAAATTGAAATTGAAATCAGTTTATTGAGGTAAAATACACACAAAGGGATGAGGTATGAAATAGGCTTTAGGTAGCTCAAGCTATTCTCACCCCGTTCAGTACATCGTGTTAATACATACATAGACACACATCACAAGCAATAAACGTATTACCAAACATTCTGAGAGATAAACATACATTTCCTCCTTTACACAAATAAGGGTTACAGAGGCATATCCATTAGCATGACCATTAGGGTGAGCGCCATCTATGTTTTGACAGCAGTACTACACATTAACCCCGCGTTACGCTATGATCAATATGTGTTAGGGTCAGTTGCTAGTCTATATATGTTTCTGGACACCGTAAGTGATGTGTGGCTTGTTGCGAGCGGAGGTCAGTAGTAACTGTTTGAACTGTGTTGGGGGAGGATGTGTCCGGGTGTGGCTGACCAGCCGGTAAGTTACGAGTCTCTAATGTGTATTTAAGCGCGGTTTTGTAATAGTCATTTGTGCTAATAACCAATTTAAGGGTGTTTTGAGTTTTGAGATTTGATGGGTATCGATAGTGATATAAAGGTGGAGGGGGGGATAAATTGTGTAATTACAAGTAAATTACCTTGTCAAGTTATGGCAATTGGCTTAAATCTATTGTGGTAAAGTTACTTTAATACAAATATTTGTAAATATAGATTTAGCTTGGGTAAAACTTAACTTGATACATGAATTGCTTAGTTTTACAAATCACTTTGATTTAACACTTGCATAGTTGAGGCAACATAGTGATAACGTTTGTGATGTGTACCTTGACTTTAGCAAAGGTTTTTTGATAGTGCCACATGGAAAAATTGAATAAAAGGAGCACTCAATATTGGGAGTGTTGTATAAAGTTTAGGGCATGGCTAGTATAAATGGTTAGTATAATGGTTAGTATAAATGGTAAAGGGACTGTTGAAAGTAGTGCATCAAGGCTCTCCTGGGACCTCGGTTGAAGATTTGAGCAGGAATAATTGCAGAATTGCAAAATAAAAAAATGGGAAAAGAAATAAATGCTTGCCATCACTTGAGTATCTAAAGAGTTTTGAAATGGTAAAGATTGCCAGATGCAGTTTAATGCAGACAAATGTTAGGTTTTGAGGCTAGGTAATAATGGTACATATGAGCTAGATGGTGTTTATTACAAAATGGATCAGTTATGGTGATAAAAATGCATAAATGTTCATTAGGCAAATGGGATCATGGCTATAAAATGGAACGCATCCAACATAGGATGACAAAAGTTAATCCTGCAAATTGGAAACCTATTTGAAGATTGAAAAGGCTTAAATGCCTGCCTCTAAAAAGGTAAAGAATTGGTGACACGATAAGTGTGAAAGTGGACAAATGGTCCTAACAAAGGGAATATCAATGGGGTATTGAGGGTATACACAAGATATAACCCAAAACAAAGGGTATAAATGATACTTCAGCTTTAGGAAAGACCTGGGTGAACATTGTTTGGTAATAGGTTTGTTTGGTGGAACCAGTTACTGCGTCACGTTGTGCAAGTGGGATGCCTAGATTTTAAACTGTAGGTTAAATCTTCAATAAGAGATTGGAAGGATATAAGGAGCTGCCTTGTATGGGCGAACAGCCCTTCTGCAGTTAGCTTTATTCTTGTTCTAACCTGCTTAGACCTAAAGTTTTAATCACAAGCCAATATGGCTATTAACCAGAAAATTTATATAATGCAATTCATTGAAAGCCGAAGTTGATAATGTAACTATGCTGTTGACTGAAGAGTTAAATAGGTGTTGCCTCACCATACCAAAACTTTAATCTTGGTAATCTAGCTTACAGCAGCTCTTTCAAAAATTTAATTTCCTGTTCCTCTTGTCCTCCAAGTTTATTACTCTACTCTAAATGACTAAGTAGGGTAATTGTCTGCAGATAACATGCTCCCTTGCCATGTTAGGAACTAAAATCTACATTGTTTTATAAAATGTCTTGCCTCTACTTGTCAAATCCTGTGAAAAATATGGGTGTAGAGCAAAGGGTGAAAGACAATTTGCAGTGAAATGTTAGTATTGGGTATGGCTTCTGCCAATGTTGGCTGGCACCACTGCCTGTGAGTATTTAACTTTGAGCAGGACTGGCATGCAGTTTATAGGCTACTGATTAAATTAATTGTATTCTATTCTTGGCTATTAATGTCCATGCCAACTCTTGGGTGGCTTAATCTTCATAAATAAGTGGTGCTGCATGGGCTACTTATTGTTAGCAGTCTACATTTTGTAGGCTGGCCCCTTGTTTGGATCTGTGCTCTACCCACTTAGCTATGAGGCTGCTTATGCTATCGTGTGCAGTATTCTTGAATTACAGGCATACAGCCTGTAATTTTAAAGCCTTGTTCCCCTTGAAAAAGGGGAAGGAAGTGGGAATAGGTTTCTGCTTCCTTTTTTAAAATCTTAGGAGAAATATAGATGGAAGACAGTGCTCCAATATTATGAGCATAGTGGTGGTATCCCTAGATTTGATTAGTTAAATTATCATTCATGGTATACTATTATGTAATTATAGTTAAATTGTATATGCTTTAAAAATTAGGTCTAAACATAATTTCCATAATTGTTGCTTTCCTACTGTAGATAAATTTTGTACTGTAATTGACTTTATTACCATACCAAAGTACAGTAATGGTAATTTAACTATTAAAAACATTGCTTTCTGCTGCCCAGTTGAAAACTTCTTATACTTTAAAATCCTCTTTTAAAGGTATTTAAGAAATTCTCATAAATATTGTCCTGCATTAATTCTGCAAATATTCCTAAAATTTACTGCATTTTTTTTCTTGTCCAATATTAACCCTTTAATTGTATTTGCAGGTGGTAAATACTCTTTCGGCTGCTACAGCTCTCCAGCCCAGGGTGTCGACTGCCTAGTCTTCAACTGCCTCCCAACATGGTAGCAAGGTCCTGAGCTGATGTACCCTATGGCGAAGATTGAGGAAGTAGTTTCCTGAAGTAATGAATGGCACTTTATAACCAGCAGCCGGCACCAGCTCTGGACAACGTCGGAGTGGACAAGGCCCAGATCCCGTGGGGAGGAAGGTCTACACTAACATGTAAAAGGTAGATAATCTGACCCTCTCCCCCCCCCCCCCCATTGACAGTTTCACAGGTCCCCCCTTTTCCACTTCATTAGCTTGTAAAGCTTTATCTTAAACAGCAGCTTAACTTGGCATTTATGGCTTTAGTGGGACTTCCATTGGATAATAGTGGGTGGGAAAAGCATCTTTTGTTCTGCATTAGCATTTCTCTTTAAACCATTGATTCAATGTTGCATTCAACTTTATCTTGACATTGTTTTGCAAATTGATCAATTTTCTGTGAAGACATGGATAGCATCCTATCTAGCTTGTGTTGTACCATTTTTACTAATGTCAGTTTCATAAAGAATGAATTATTGGCTGGTATTAAATATCGTCTAAAGTAGATAAAATCGGTGTCCATGCTGTGGTATTAGTTGGGTGAACGAGATTAATGCAAGTTGTGCTTAGTTTCCTTGCCAGTTGTGTGGTAGGTTGTGAAAAGCTTTAAGGGGTCCATTAGGTATGTTTTTCAAAATGGTTAGATTTCACTTTTTTGACCCTTTGTATATGGAAAGGGTTTAATCTGGTCAATCTCGGCATCATAGAATAAATAGAGAAATATTGAATTGGGTGAAAAAAAAAAAAAAATCGGAAAAAATGGTGTCGACTGAAATGTCTGACTGGCTATCACAACAGCCTATATTAAAAAAAAATAGTTGTAGTAAAGATTTTTTAAATTTGTTTATTTTAGAATTTGCATGAAACTTGTACACCTGATGGCATGTAAGCCTATCTGTAAGGGTGCCAAGGGGTCCAGGAAATTGGTTGTCAACCTCTGCCACAGATGGCAGCACCTTACTTTATTTTGTTTAAATAACAATGTTCATAACTTTCATTTTTTAATAAATTTACATGAAACTTACACCTTAGTGTTGAAAATCTGTAGTTGGCATTTTTTCACAAAGTTCATTTATTGATTTAATAATAGCAAGTGTTAAATTTGCATATTTTTGGGGGGCACTTTGACTATTTGTATTAGGAAAACAGTGTTGGAAAAACCCAACTTCATATCCTTCATATGGTCATGTTAGAAAAGTCGTAGAATGATTATCTGAAACGTGTGGTTGTATATACACACTTGAAAATGTAATATTCGTTAAAAAGAGAAATTAAATCTTTCTATTTAGGCTGCAGTACTGAAACTTTGACCTGTTGCATCTCTTTTCATATAAAAGTCCAAAAAAATATTGGTCAACATTGAACTTTTACAATAAACTAATATAATGGTCCCTTAAAAAATCCATGTATGCAGTTGCTGGAAGTACTTTATTAGGTGGTTAATTTGCAAAGTTTGCACGACAGCCTTGTTCATATAATTTTTTTTGGTTCAACCCCCCCCCCCCCCCCACAAACTACATTTCTTTAAATATTTAATCAAAATGGTGACTGAATCTGAAAAGATTCCAAAAGCAGACTAGATTGGATGCAGCTTTTCTGCTGTGCTACTTGTGGCCTGCATAAATGGGAGGAACATCTGCAAAATTCCAATCTAGGGAAGTATTAGTTGGTCTAGAGGCACTTCATGGAAAGTGTCCTTAACTTTACTTTTAAATGTCCACACCTGTGGCTTTAGAATCTTTCGGCTTTTTCCCCTTGTATCTCTTACTATGGTCTCTAAATTCATTTCCTACACCTGCTTAAAATAAATTGTGTATAAAGTTGAATACTGATTTAATAGTGAATTTAATGTTTGATGCATTGATTAGAAGATACGTTAAGGTGGAGCCAGTGATACTGGTTATCGTCATCTAGTATGTGGTTTGGTCAAAATGTATTTGGTCACGATAGTCTTCTGCCATGTTGGATGCCCTTGTATTGCTATTAAGGTTCTAAAGTGTACTTTGGGATATTTTTGAGTTTCTTGCAGAATTTGAATCTTCAGTAGGTTCAGATTTTTATATGCTGGACATGTTCCAGGAGGCTTTGCTTCGTTACTAGGTTGAATTACCTGTACAATCCACATAATGTAGTTCATTATAGGTGCGAATGATACTTGGGAAAGCTATTATTCCCATAATACTTAAATATTGTATCTATTTAATCACAAAGGTGCTTCAAACTTGCCGTTATTGTTCCTTGTCTGAGGGTAGTGAGAAATTGTCCAGACTTTCTACATGGTGAATATATTCTATAACATTTCCCTGAAAGTAATTACAAAAGTAGGTAATTATTAGTTTCTTTAAATTTGGATAAAATTAGAATTGCTTTGGTAGTTTTAGGTAGATAATTTTAGTCAATCAGATACCATGTTGTGTAATCTAGTTTTATTAATTATGCTAAAAAGCTTTTTATATTGGAAGTCTTTGCACTTGTTTCCTAAGATTGGCATCATTAGGTGCATATTCCAGCTTCAGGAAAAGTTGTAAATAGATAATGAAATGTATATTTGTATGTATAAATGTATTTCTTTGTTGGAATATTTTAAAGGCTGTAGGTTGTGCTTATTGTAATTTAGCATTAACATATTGTCCAGTCTTAAAGGCCATGACAGTTAGGTTTATAATCTAGTATCTTGGCATAGATAGCAAACATGTTTATAAAATTTAGTATTAATTTTAGTAAGTTAATTATCAATAATTAACACTAGTTGTGTAAAATGTGTGGTACTGCAGTTTAATAATTATGGTCCAGAATCTTGTTGGATGTTAGAATTTGAGTGAGTGAATATTTCCAGAAAGTTGATGAACAGTGGCCATACCTATTGGAATAGATAAAAAGGGCAATTTGAAAGTCATGAGGTGACACCCAAGCTCTGGGATGCTGTATTAATTTGTTAGCAGGTAAACTTATATTGCTTGTTATGGGAGACTGGCCACTGTAATTCTCTACTCGATATACAGGCTAAATAGTCTCTACTATGAAGTCCATATGCTATTGTCAAGAAAGTACATAGGTGGGTCTTAGGTTATGCATTGGATGAGGAAAATGGGAATGTATAACTTGTCCTTGATGATAGTTGTATATTTTTTAGCTAGTATGTTGCATAATAGAAATAATTTGTGGTAAAATGTTCATTGCACACAATGGCACCAGCTGTTAAATGATATTGATCAGTGCATTGTTACTAGATTCTTGGAACTTTTCCTTGCATGGTCAGTAATTTAAGAATATATGGTAATTATTTTAGAATTGTATACTTGCCTATTGTATTTAAGCTTATTGTACGTTTCTAAAATTTTCTAATGTTATACTTTTACTTTAAAATTATGCACTTAAGCAGTTTATGAATATTAGTTTAATAGAAATTAATAGTATGTATACATAAATTTATTAATTCGGATTGTCTCTTGACGGGTGGAGATGCATTATCTGCAATGACCCCTGTAATGTATTTGTTGGTAGTAGCATATAACTTTGGGTATGGCCTCTTATGTTGATGTTGTTGCTTATTGTAAATAGTGAAGAATCATGGTACAAGAGCTGTTCTCTAAGTTTATTAAAACAAGCTTTTTGGCCATTTTAGAATACTTAATATTCTTGGCAACATCTGTCTTGAGACTAATAGACTTGCATTACTAGATAATAAATTTATGGGTGTCATGGGCAGTTGACCTTCCTTATGAGCAACAAGGTGATGCAAGGTAATTTTTCCCCACACTTTGATGTAGTTGTTTAAGCCATAGTGTGGTGCGTGGGATTGAAGAAATAATCACCGCTCCACATTGTGATAAGATGGATTCCTGTTGCATTGAAGCCTGCAAGTTGAATAAATGTTTTGGCAAATATTGTAGTTATAATACTGTACACTTGTAATACTTATTATAAACACTGTATACTTAATACTGTTAATTTTTTTATTGATAAATACCAGTTTATATTGTTAATGAGAATAATGATTATAGCTTGGTGAAAGGGTGGTTATATTAATTTAGAAGTACTTTGTTATAGCAAATGTTCGTTTGAAGGTAGTTGAAATGTAATTCTTATAAATTACCCATTTCTAATAGTCGGCAACATCAATTTTAAAGTATTGAAGGCATTGTAGGAAGTCTTTACCAAAGTAAAGGTATATTGGGGTACTTAATGTAGGTGTATGTAAGCTAAAAGTTGAAAATGTGAATAGAACATTAATGTTGTATAGATTGTCACTGCCCATCCTGTAGATATTAGTCATGGCAAGTTGTCTACTAAATGAGGTCCCCCCCCCTAACCCCAACCCTTTCTTGCTTGTCATGAGGGAGGGGGCTTGGTGTGCAGCTGCTGGAATGATGCTCCATGGGGTCAGTCCTGTCATTTAGAGGCCTTGTGCTCCTGTTGCTGTCTTCACCAATTTTGCTAGACACTTTAACTTTTAGTTTCAATTTTCTAACCCCTCTTCTCATTTCCAACTAATCATTTCCTGCTGACCTTTTGCCAGTCTTGATTATTCTTTGACTTCTCTTTTGATGCATGGGTGTTTCGGGAGGTATACTCGCCTGTCTAGAGTGAGGGGGGACCCCTTTTATCACTCGTCCTTTCGTCGCTGAACACACTTTACACTGACGGTTCTTAAGGTGGCGTACAATATCAGTTTAGTCTCGTTGGAGGAATTGCTTTGAATAGCGCAAAGAATTTTCACTTGTGAAGTGGGGTGTTAACTCTTAAATTGAATAAAATCTGAAGTAGAGTTTATTTATAATTAAAATTATATTTAAATGTAAATTTGTCTGCTTAATTTTCAGTGTTCAGTTAATTGTTTGGCTAGAAGTTTGTATCGTATATAAATTTAACAAGCGTGATGCATCAAATGAACGATCTAAATGGGCTGTGTTCAAATGTCAGATTGCAGATGCACCTTAATTGACTGTGCCATGACATGGTAAAAGAATTGCAACTGGGAGGTCTACTGACCTCATGGCTCCAGGTTTGAACCCTCATGGATTTGTTAATCTAAATTTTTTAAAGTTAAAAAGATAATTTCATAATTGAAAGTAGTTACAGAATACAAATTAACTGGTACCTGTACTTGATCTTTTAATAATATAACTGAAGTTTAAATAGGCTTTTTCTTTCAGAACATAGATTGGAAAGTCCTAAACTACATTCCTGGAGTTTGAAGGTGTTGATTGACATTCAGAATCAGGTGTGTGGTAGTATTTTAAACAGATTTGCATTATATTAAATAGTAAAGTTAAAATCTCTCATTATGGCTAAAGATAATCTGAATGATTGCGTATAATGTAAAGAAAAAATTGCCAAGTCTGAAGTATCTTAAGTTTAATGTACTCGAACTTGGATAATGGCTACTCAAACTAATTGTTTTTGCTTGATTAGCATTAGTGAGAAGCTGACAATATTAACATTTTGGTAATTTGAAAGGAACATTATCTATTGTGAATTTGTGTAAACTTGCAAAAGTAAAATAAGCCCAATACAGAATTTATAAGCTAATTTGGTTAAATGTTTCTAATGCTTTTATAGATTACAATGGTATCCAAGCATTGACTGACTTGAAGTGTGGCTGTTCTACTCTGCACATCTATGAAGCTGGTATGTTGAATTAGTTTTAGCTATATCAATTGCCGTACCAATATGGGGGATGTGGGGGATCCTAACTAAAAATTTGTTTGAAAATAAAATTTCAGTAGCATGCCTTTAATTTTTACTTAAAAGGGCTTTATTCTAGAATTTATAAATGAAAGATGGTGGGGGAAGTAGCTAATTTATTGTAGTTTTAAAAAGGCAAATATTGAAGTTTAAAGATTATTTTCTTTGCACAGCAATTTTTTAACCATATTTAATGTTTCATTGACAGGTTGTGGAGGGTCCTTCCAACATAATTTCAGGGATGGTGTACAGAACAATTGGTGAAAGTTATGCTACAGAAACTAGTTGTGTGTGAGAATTAGTTGGTAAAAGTAAGTTTACTGATATAATTAGTTTAATAGCTTTTTAAATATTTAGGTGAAATATGTAATTGTGAAGGGGCCTTGAAATGGGAAAATAAACTAGTTCTAGGTGACAAGCGGGGTACAATATCAGTTTAGTCGTTGGAGGAATTGCTTTGAATAGCGCAAAGAATTTTCACTTGTGAAGTTGGGTGTTAACTCTTAAATTGAATAAAATCTGAAGTTGAGTTTATTTATAATTAAATTTATATTTAAATGTAAATTTGTCTGCTTAATTTTCAGTTCAGTTAATTGTTTGGCTAGAAGTTTGTATCATATATAAATTTAACAAGTGTGATGCATCAAATGAACAATCTAAATGGGCTGTTCAAATGTCAGATTGCAGATGCACCTTAATTGACTGCCATGACATGGTAAAAGAATTGCAACTGGGAGGTCTACTGACCTCATGGCTCCAGGTTTCAACCCTCATGGATTTGTTCATCTAAATGTTTTTAAGTTAAAGATAATTTCATAATTGAAAGTAAAAAGAAAGTTACAGAATACAAATTTACTGGTAACTGTACTTGATCTTTTCATAATATAACTGAAGTTTAAATAGGCTTTTTCTTTCAGAACATGGATTGGGAAGTCCTAAACTACATCCTAGAGTTTGAAGGTGTTGATTGTTTGACATTCAGACTCAGGTGTGTGGTAGTATTTTAAACAGATTTGCATTATATTAAATAGTAAAGTTAAAATCTATCATTATGGCTAAAGATAATCTGAATGATTGCATATAGATAATGTAAAGTAAAAATTGCCATGAAAGTCTGAAGTATGTTTCTCAAGTTTAATGTACTCAAACTTGGATAATGGCTACTCAAACTAATTATTTTTGCTTGATTAGCATTAGTGAGAAGCTGACAATATTAACATTTTGGTAGATTTTAAAGGAACGTTATCTATTGTGAATTTGTGTAAATTTGCAAAAGTAAAATAACCCCAATATGGAATTTATAAGCTAATTTGGTTAAATGTGTCTGGTGCTTTTCTAGATTACAATGGTATCCAAGCATTGACTGACTTGAAGTGTGGCTGTTCTACTCTGCACATCTATGAAGCTGGCATGTTGAATTAGTTTTAGCTATATCAATTGCTGTACCAGTATGGGGGGGGGGAATCTTAACTATAAATTTTTTTAAATAAAATTTTGGTAGCCTGCCTTTAATTTTTACTTAAAAGGGTTTTATTCTATAATTTATAAATGAAAGATGGTGGGGGAAGTAGCTAATTTATTAGTGTAGTTTTAAAAAGGCAAATATTGAAGTTTAAAGATTATTTTCTTTGCACAGCAATTTTTTAACCATATTTAATGTTTCATTGACAGGTTGTGGAGGGTCCTTCCAACATAATTTCAGGGATGGTGTACAGAACAATTGGTGAAAGTTATGCTACAGAAAATAGCAGTTGTGAGAATTAGTTGGTAAAAGTAAGTTTACTGATATAATTAGTTTAAATAGTAGTTAAATATTTAGGTAAAAAATTATGTAATTGTGAAGGGGCCTTGAAATGGGAAAATAAACTAGTTCTAGGCCTTGCAGGAATTGCTTTGAATAGCATAAAGAAAATTTAAAATGTAAAGTGTTAATTCCTAAATGGAATAAAATCTGAAAGGTATATAAATATTTAAAATGTAATTGGTTTGCTTAATGTGCTTGGTTAGTTTGGTTTTTAATTATTTGGCTAAAAGTTTGCAATAATTTGAGTGATATCTCAAATAAACAAATCCACAAGGGCTGTGATGGTTCAAATGTGTGAAGATTGCACATGTACCATAGTTGACTGTGCCATGACAAGGTAAACGAATTGACTGGGAGGCTTACTGACCTCATGGCTCGAGCAATCCTGGTTTGGTGCCTTTTGATAATTACTTACTCATGGCTCCTGCAGTTGGATATAGGTTTAAACCCTCATGAATTTGTTCATCAAAATGTTTAACTTAAAAGGATATGTTCATAACTGCAAGTAAAAAATTAACTGGTAACTGTCATGTTTTTAATATAATTGAAGTTTAAATAGACTTTTTCTTTCAGAATATGGATTGGGAAGTGCAGAACTACATCCTGGAGTTTGAAAGTGTTGAATGCTTAACATTCAGAATAAGGTGTGTGGTAAACATTACTGTTTTAAAATAGTTAAAACAATCTAGCATTATAGGTAAAGATAATTTGAAATGATGGTTGCATGTAGATAATGTAAATTAAAAATTGCCATTAAAGTCTGAAGTATTGTTCTCCAATTTGATGTACTTGTGGCTACTCAAACTAAGTTTAATGTCAATGTGTTTTGCTTGATAAGCATTAGTGACAAAATCCACTAATCTTAATATTGTAAGATTAAATGAACATTATCTATTGTGAATTTTCAAAGTAACTAAAGTAAAATTAGCCCAATACAGAATTTATAAGGTAATTTGGTTAAATGTTTCAGGTGATAATGAAGATTACAATGGTACCAAAGCAGTGAGGCTATTCTACTTCACACATCCAATAAACTGGTATGTTGAATTACATGTTTTAGCTATATCAAATAATTAATCTACTTTTTCATCTAGTCCATTTATAGATGTGTACCAAAGTCCTACTGTTACCACCTGCAGGGATTGATGCAGTTTGTACTGATCCTACCCCATTTCATAGAAGGGGACCAGGCAGTCCTGCAGATTTCCCTGGCTTGGCTTTTTCAGAGCCCTGCTCTACTACCCATCCAATAGATGGACTAGAATTGCATAGGTGTAGGGACCCTTAACAATGTGCAAACATTGTTAATAACTACAGGGCTTGTTCACTGAAAGAGTGGATACATCCAGAGGTTTAGTGCCTGGAACATGATGTACATAGGCTTCACAAGAAGCCTATGTACATCATGTTTAGGGCACTAAACCAAAAGATGTTTTGCACTCTTTCAGCCAACAAGTCCTGCCTCAAAATGCAAGTAAGGGGTAGGCCTTGCTGAGCCAATCTTAAAAGATTGGGACTTAGGGGTTTTGGTGCTTATAGATAGGTGTTAGTGTTAATAAAATGAGTGTCCCTGTTTGATATACTTTATTTTTCTTTTACAGGTGGATGTTGTCCTTGTTACTCTGGAGTTTTCCCTGTCCTTTTGGAGTCTTCAGTGGATTGCATCTAGGAGGAGCAGCTTCCCACAACCTGAAATGGACAATAGTCAATATTAGATGTTACACTACTATGCAATAAATATTCTAATGAAACTACTTTATACTGTACTTTATCCTGAAATTAGCAAAGATTCTATCATGCTGGAAATTACTGATTATTCCTGATGCAAAGTCTAACATCTAAAGAACTTCTGAAATTTATAAATAACTTACCAAAGTGAAAATTATTGGTAGGTGTTAGTATATTGAACTGGGACACATTATTTTTCTTTTACAGGTGGATGATGTCTTTGGTACTCTGGACATTTTCTTGGCCTTTGAAGTCTCAACCTGAAACATAAAATTGTCTTATATTGTATACTCATTAATAAATCATTTAATGAAACTTTATGTACTTTATCCTGAAAGTAGCTATAATTCAACTGTGCTTGAAATTTATTACTAATGCAGTCTTCCTAACAATGACATCTAAAGAAAACTGATATAATGCATTAATTTAAACCTGCATGTATAAGAGTTATAAGTTTTCATAAAGCTAATGTAGTTTATGAGAACTTAAACTTCATAAAGCTATTATAAACTTACACATGAGCATCTTAAGCATACAAAACTGAAATCATTTTTACCACTTTTTAAAACTTTGCATTCCAAACTGAATTAACCTGATAATAAAATTTAAAATAAATTATTTATAATATAACTACCAAATTTCACTTCTAAAACAAATGTATGGGCTAAACTTCCACTTATCAATGATGTTGCATAGCTTATGTAAAAATTTAAGTCAATGGCAAGATTAAACTAAATTTAGTTTTTTTTTCAATGTGCCTTACTAAATGTCACACCTTAGCCCATTATAGTAATCACATTGATTATGTATTAAAAACTCTACAACTTTCTAACAATATTGTCTAATGCTGGACAATATCAAATGAGACCAAACACTACAATTTTCTACTAGTCTAAGAAAATAACAAACTTTAGAAATGTCCAATCTGTGTTAATATTTGCTGCACTATGAAATGTCTACCAAATATTTGGAATCAACACTAAATTCACATGCCAGACAATCCATTACCACAAATGTTTCAAGCTGCTGATTATAACTATTTAAAGATAGTGTATACATACACTGCCTGTAACAAGCACCATAAATGGGAAGAGCTTTTCAAACTAAAATTATAAAAACTTCAGATACCTGGAATTCAATCTAAGCTCTTAAATGAACTTTCCATTCAAACTTATTGCCACTTAAACTCACTATATAGGTTCAAAGCTATTCTCAACTTTAATTGGATTTCAAATGTCACTTAAATTTGTTAAACTGCCAAGCAGAAAAATTCTGATTACTTTAACCTCACATCTGCAAGGTCCTGAAGGGGAGATTCATTCATAGTCTTGTAAAATCAACAAAATGGTTTGTTAAAAAATGAACTCTTTTTAAAGATAACCAGCTATTCGCACACAAGTACTTTGTTTGCTAAAGCACCATATGAAACACTAGGAATGAAATACCAGGCACATAGAATAAATGGTAGAAAGGATAAGTAAGTAATTATCAAAAGAAGCCACCAAACCGGGAAGGCTATGTAGCACCATCAAATGCGCAAAATAATCAGAGGGCGCTAAATATCACCAAGGATGCCAATACGAGAACAAAAACGCACAAGGCGAACGATATTAAAAGTATCCGAGTCACCAAGAATTCTATCGAGGGACAGGTGACCGCGAGGGGCGGTCGGAAAGCAAGACACACGCTCGTCCTGGAAGTCAGGACATTCAAGAAGGACATGCACGACCGTAAGAGGGACAATGCAACTAGGACAATAAGGAGCAGGGCAGCGTTCCATCAAGTGACCATGGGTTAAGCGAGTATGGCCAATACGCAACCTCGCCAGAGCGGTTTCCCACCGCCGGTTACGGTGGAAGGAGGACGGCCACGAGGAAACACAACATTTAAGAGTACGTAGCTTGTTACCAGTAACGGACAACCAAGAAGCCTGCCAACGGGTAAGGACTGAGGAATGGATAACCGGGTAAAAGTCGGAATACGGAATGCCTTTACGAGAGATGGGACAAGAGCTGACAGCTTCCTTGGCGGCAGCATCCGCACACTCATTTAAAGACACACCAATATGGCTGGGAACCCAACAAAACTCAACCGACTTAAATTTACTGTTAACGAGAAACAGCCAATGCTGGATCTCGACAACTACTGGATGAACCGGATTAAAGGACCCGAGAGCCATGAGGGCACTACGAGAGTCAACAACAACTACAAAGGAAGACTGACAACGAGAAAGCAGGAGACGAAGAGCATAGAGAACAGCATAAAGTTCCGCTGTAAAGATGCTAGTCTCCGGAGGCAAGCGACACATATAAGTGCGATCAGGAAAAACAACAGAGTAGCCAACACCGTCCGCTGACTTAGACCCATCGGTGAAGACAGAAACGGAGCGGGAGTGAGAAGAAAAGTGCTCGAGGAAAAGGCGTTTTAGAACCGTAGGAGGGGTAAAAGCTTTAGTGATACGGGTCAAGGATGTACAAAACCGCGGAAGAGGGACCCTCCACGGGGGCAAAGAAGGAACAACACGAGGAGAAACATCAGAAATACGAACGGAAAGAGAATCCTGTAGGCGAGATAACCGGACAGAAAGAGGGAGGTGGTGAAGAGGAACAGGAACCGCAGGAGGGGTAAAAGTTAAAGCACGACAGGCGAGAGGATGTTGCAAGGACCGCGCAAGATAGCGAAGACAGTAGCGAGCACGGCGGTCCTGGAGAGACAGGAAGCCAGTGTCAACATACATGCAAAGGATGGGAGTCGAACGAAAGGCACCAGAACTGAGGCGCAACCCAGTATGGTGCAAAGCATCAAGACGGCGAAGAGTAGAAGGAGAAGCAGACGAGTAAGCAGGGCAACCATAATCGAGCTTAGACAGGACGAGAGAGGAATGTAAAGCAAGGAGTGCGCGCCTATCTGCCCCCCACCACGACAGAGGCGAGAGGATGTTGCAAGGACCGCGCAAGATAGCGAAGACAGTAGCGAGCATGGCGGTCCTGGAGAGACAGGAAGCCAGTGTCAACATACATGCAAAGGATGGGAGTCGAACGAAAGGCACCAGAACTGAGGCGCAACCCAGTATGGTGCAAAGCATCAAGACGGCGAAGAGTAGAAGGAGAAGCAGACGAGTAAGCAGAGCAACCATAATCGAGCTTAGACAGGACGAGAGAGGAATGTAAAGCAAGGAGTGCGCGCCTATCTGCCCCCCAAGAAGTATGGGACAAGACCCGAAGGAGGGTAAGTGCCTTAGAGCACTCAACACGGAGGTAAGAGATATGGGGAGACCAAGACAAACGAGTGTCAAGGAATAACCCCAAAAGCTTTGCGGAATCTTTGTATTCAAGGGGATGACCATAAAGGGACAAAGAGGGACGAAGAACAACCCGTTTCCGCGTAAAAGTCATGGCACAAGTCTTAGAAGTAGAGAACTTGAAGCCATGATCTGTGGCCCAAGACAGCACGGCATCAATTGCAAGTTGAAGCCGGCGTTGAAGGAGAGGCGAATCATCACCCTGACAACAAAGGGTAAGATCATCGACATAGAGAGCGGAGAAGACACCAGAAGGAAGAGAGGAAAGAAGACCATTGAGGGCAACCAGAAAAAGAGTAGTGCTCAGAACACTACCCTGGGGCACACCTTCGTATTGCTGAAAAGAGGGAGAGAGAGTGGTACCAAGGCGCACCCGAAAGGAACGACGAGAGAGGAAGCTGCGGAGAAAGAGAGGGAGATGACCACGAAGGCCAAAAGAATGAAGTTGAGATAGGATATGATAACGCCAAGTGGTGTCGTAAGCCTTTTCCAGGTCAAAAAGGACGGCAACAACGGAGGTCTTCGCAGCAAAAGCAGTACGAATATAGACCTCCAAGTTCACCAGGACATCTGTCGTGCTGCGGCACTTGCGGAAACCAAATTGAGAAGGGGAGAGGAGGTGATGGTGTTCCAGGAACCACATCAGATGAACGTTAACCATACGTTCAAAGAGTTTGCAGACACAACTTGTGAGAGCAATAGGGCGAAAGTCCTTAGGGGAAGTACCCAGAGACCCCGGTTTGCGAACAGGGAGGACAACGGCATCGAGCCAGTCCTCAGGGACTGACGACGACTCCCAGATCCGATTATACAGACTCAGTAAATACTGAGACGTGCTCGGAGGGAGATGGCGAAGCATCTCATAATGAATACCATCGGAGCCCGCCGCCGTAGAACCGCAGAGGGCCAGGGCAGAACGAAGTTCAGAGAGAGAGAAGGGATCATTATAGGGAAGCTGAAGATGAGTGCAGAAATCTAAAGGACGAGACTTAAGGACAGGTTTACGAAGAAGGAAAGATTGGGGAAGATGAAGACCAGAGCTAACAGAAGAAAAGTGGGAACCCAGTTCGGAAGCGACCTGCAACGGGTCCGCCACAAGAGTATCATGGAGGTGAAGGACCGGTGAAACATCGGGAACGAACTTACCCGCTATCTTGCGGATACGCTTCCAGATCTGGGCCAGAGGGGTTTCGGACGTAATTCTTGAGACATAAGATGCCCAACATTCACGTTTAGCCGTACGGATGGCCCTACGGGCCACCGCACTCGCTTTCCGAAAGAAAAGAAAAGAATCGGTCGTCTGCCTACGGCGGTGCCTCTTCCAGGCTGCACGTTTACAGCGGACAGCCCGAGCACAGTCCGCATTCCACCAGGGAACGCACTTCCGTGGACCCCGGGAGGAAGAGCGAGGGATAGAGCGGAGGGCAGCGTTGAAGACAGTGTCATGAAAAAGGAGGAGAGCGCGAGAGAGAGGCAGAAGGGAGAGGTCAGAGAGAGTAGCACTGAGGGAAAATAGGGTCCAGTCCGCCTTAGCAAACTGCCACCTAGGGAAAGAGAGGGAAGGGCGAAAAGAGAAAAAGGAAACAAGGATGGGGAAATGATCACTTCCATGGAGGTCATCAAGAACCTGCCACGTGAAATCTAAGTAAAGAGAAGAAGA